TATGGTGGTAACCTGAGCACCCCTAAAAGGAGCTAGTTTTGCCTGAGCTTTGGCAAGGTATGGAGTCAGTTGGTGAAGCTCTGGCAATATGGCAGGGCTGGACCTGTGCCTGTGTGGACTCCAAGATTTACTCATACAATTCAACCAATGCAGTGAAGTCTTCCCATACGGTTCTGTGCTGTCTGTCTTGAGCTGAGGCCCCCCTGAAATGCCAGTTCCAGAATCCCCTCCTCAACAGATCTGCCAATGCACCTCACTCCTGCCCTGCAGCTCCCCCTCCTAAGCCAGTCTCGTGCCCTACCACAAGCATGTGCCGAGGGTTGTAGACTGGGAAGGCATCCTCTGGGAGAAGGGAACCAGGCCACAGCAATACCCAGGAGAGGAAAGCCTGCTCTGAGAAGGCTCATCACCCAACCCTAAGTTCCTCCTGCTTCCTGGCTAGGCGACACACTTCTGCTGCCAGCCCTTGGTCCTCCTCACCACAGAAGGTTAAATCCATGAAGCCGGAGTCACCTTACAGCAAGGTGCAGTGTCCCAAGCCAGAGGCTGTGGAATGAAGCGGCGGCTGTATGGCCAAATGGCAGTGTGGTGCACAGCCCCTAGCCCTGGCAGTTCCCAGTGGAGACATTGAGAGTGAATACAAAGAGTATAGCGCAGGGAGGTGGACTGAGGATCCAATCAGTGAGGAAAAAGCTCAGAGCAAACCCTGCGTGGCCTGAGCAGTGACATTCCCCAGGAAAGTGACGGTATACAAGTAGCCTCTTCTGCCCAGCACTGCTCTTTGTCGTGTATCTTCATCTCAGATCTCTGGCTCTACTGATCCAATGGAGCCTTTGCTGGCCTTAGCAACCCACCTATGGGAAAGGGAACTCCATTCTACTCTGCCTCCTGTGTCGAACTGGCCAATAACTTCTCATTTCATAATCTCCATGGCTGGTGATGGCGGGAGTGGCAAATAGAACCCGGTGGAGTTTGTTAAAGAATTTGTTAACTCTCGCTAACCCTGGGACTCTAACCCAGATCTGTAATTGACCAACGAAGCCACACTCTGTCAGGTTTGCAACATCACCTCACGCCCACTAGGGACTTCACTAGTGCTATGTAGACTTTATATGGAAGGTGCCCAGATTCTACAATGATGGGCAGCAGTATAAAACCCTAAGCTAAATAGATTCCTTGGAATAATGGTATTTTACATTTCTAAAGCACCTTTCATCCTGAAAGATCCTCAAACACTTGATATACGCTATATGCCTAGTGCTGCTGAAATGCAGCCACCTCTGGGGAGGAGAGTAGCCGCCGGAGGAAAGAGGGAAGTGCAAGTCAAGGACACCGTCTTGTATGCATTTGGTGTTGTGTGTGTGTGTGTTGAGTGAATGACAACCTGAAATGAGGAGGCTGGGAAACAGGAGGCCAGCTGAAGGGTGCTGAAGACAGAGAGGCCCACTCATTAGGAAGTCAAATGTGCTCTTTGGAAGAAAGATGAGACTGCGATTGAGAAAGGAGCCACACAGGACCGGGTTTATGTTCTCAGGGCAACTTGATCTTCAAGCTCCTGAACAACACAACAACCCTGGCCATCTGAACAGCTTCCTTACTGCAGCTGCTTCCCGGGGCAGCTTCTATTACTCAGCCTAAAACGCCAGCCTCTTACTAGTTTTCATGTCCTGTGTGCCTCCCGTTAGCCAGGCTGGAACATGAAAGAGAGGCAATAAAGCAGCTTTAGAGCAGAGGGGACATTGTCCCAGCTCCTGTCTCCAGCAGAACGTCTTCCCTCCAGGGGTCTCAGCCCCTCTCGCCAGGGTTCACCCTGCCACTAGGGCTAGCCCCTATGGCCCAATCCCAGCCTGGTGTATTGGCTCCTTGTTTGGAAGGTGGATTCTGTAGGCTTCTGGTGGAGTCTCCTTGCTTTGTTCTCTTTTGTGCCTCTCGGTCCCTCTGTGGGCCCCACTCCTTTGGCTGGTGAAGTGGGCTGTCTTGACATCCCTGGATGCCTCTGCACATCCACAGAGGAGGTTCAGCCTGGGCAGCAGCAGGGCAAGCTTCCCCAGCGGCACCCCCTGCTCGAGTGCGGGCCTGAAGGAACCATCTCTAGAGCTCTAGAGGACTGGATGTGACGATGGGGGCACCCGTACATTGGGATCAGGACTCAGACCCACCAAGCTCACTTCACACAGGCTACCAAGCAGCGATCAGATGGTCATAAAATTTCCTCAATACCAGCTTGATCTGGATTCACACTTGCCATTTAAAGAGACAACATTCTCTCTAGCCTATTACCAATCCCCTGAGCTACACAGGCCCCTTTTCACTGTGTCTGTGCCTGGGGGAAGAGGAACCAGCGTCGCTTCCTCTGGCACATGTACCAGGTTATTCACAGGAGGGGCTGTTGTTTCCTGCATACATTCGCATGCCTTAATGCAGATAAGTGACATCAGTGATGAGGCTGCATATCAGATTCTCCCAACAGATGGCTCTGGTTTGGGTCTCCCTCAGTAACGCTTTAAAGGCATCTGATGGGTCTTTCTATCTGCAGCAGACACAGGGCTGCCCACTGAATAAGGCTCCTCCTGCAGCCTGGCTGCCGATTCCCATGCAGTAGGTGATATGATCCCTATTTACACTGTAACAGGAACCATGCTGGATCTGCTTGGAGAAAACAAGAGAGAGAGAGCGAGCGCATGCACTATAGGGAGTGGAGGGTGCTAAGGGAGCACCGGGAATGCTGCCTCTGGGACGTTGGCTCTCCTGGGAACAGAATACATGCTAGCTGGCCCATGCTGCTGTTCTGATGGGATGTAATGCTGGGATCTAATAGATGCAGAACCCATTCCTGTCTTTCCTAGGTGCTTTGGAGGGAGGACAATGGGGATTGAAGGTAAAGAGGAGAGAAACAAGCAAGTTGAGGATCCTTGGTCCCTCAGACATAGGGCCCTGGAGTTCCTCACTGACTCTATATTAAGCTTCTGTAGGCTGGGGAGGGAAAACTCCCTGCAGCACAATTCAGGGAAGAAAGGAACATGGTTTTCTATGGCTCCTGTTCCAGTAATATAAAGAAATGCAGCCCCAATGCACTCAGCAACCAGTCTCCAGACAGGATTGGAGACGGGCCCCCAACTGAGACACCCGTGCACATTGGAGAAGCTTGGATCCAGGCCCAATTCTGTTTAGAGCTGATTTTATTTATTGAGGGAGGCCTCCCTCTCCAAATATTGCCACTGGCCCTTTCATTCCAATCTGGGTAGCCGCAAAGGAAGGAACAGGCAGAGGGGATGTCACCTGCTGACAATGAGGCTGCATGGCTTGATACTCCATTTCCACTCGTCTGGCTTCCTACATGGAAGACTTTAAGATGGAATCCCTACCCCCGGAGAGAGTTTATCCCTCTCTGCTCCCTTCCCGGCAAGATCTGATTAGAACTGCAAGCCAGACACGGAAGCAGGGCAGATTGTCACTGAGCGAGCTCTCTGGAGAGAAGAGAGTTCTGGCCTACCAGCATTAAACAAGGAGCTCAGATGCCTGTTCAGACCTATTGCTTGGTGCCTAGCACATGTGCACTTGGGATTCCCGGCACCCGTTGTAAATAGGGCACGAGCAATGCCTGCACTCTCCCTAGAGAAAGTGCGTTTGGGACAAAACTACCCTGATGTTGCAGTGCCTTCAAACAGCAGAAGCCGTACACTAGGTCTTAAGGCTAACAGCCACGGTCAGGCAGAGATGGGGTGCTAGGAGTCCCAGACCTCCCAAAATGTTGAGGAACACAGCAGGGTTTCTAAATTGTCTCACTGGTGGTGGAAGGTCCAAGCTCCCCCCTTTTTAAGGCCGATCGCTAGGTGTATTTAGTAATGCTGATGCACCATGAGGATCATGAAATAAAGTGATGACCGGGGTCAGACGGGGCACTGGATCAGTTCACTGTGATTTCTCCATGGAGACATTTGTTAAAATGCCTTAGGTCAGAGGTGAAAGGCGTTTGGTGGGTCTCAGCCTAGTTCTCCATGAGCCTTTGGCTAGATCACAAGAACTCCGATGACCTCTGGGATAACTGGGCAAAGCCAGCAGGCTCTGGGCAGGATAGGCCTACGGCTGGAATAGCAGAGGATGCTGAGAGTCAGCATTAAGGTGCATTTGTAGAGCTGTGTGGGCACAGGACTGGTTCAGCAGATCAGGACAGAAGTTGAGTTGGGAGGCCAGGACTAGAATGTCAGGGGTAGCACAGGTCATGAATAATGTGCATAGGCAGAGCTCCATGTCTGTGCAGATGTTCAAGGAGGTGAATTGATATAGCTGCATAAAGGGAACTGTGTGGAGTGCATGATCTGTCTATGCCTGGCAGTACCCAGTGATCGATTCATCCCTTCCTTACCACGGCTCGAAAATTCATCCGATTAGTGCAATGCAATAAACCCAAACAGGTCAGAACTCATCATTCCATTCCCCTCCATTTGCAGCTGTGGATTGCCTGAGTGCGTTTTTCATTTTTAACTACTGTGTTTGCACACATGCAAGCCAATGTGAGTGTGAAGGTGGCTCATGGGTGCACGGCAGGGTGAGCATGGTCATACAGACAGACACACACACCAATGCAAGCATGAAGGCTGTGCATTTACACGTGCTCATGTGAGCATCAACTTCACATATGCATGAGCAGGAGGGTCACACGCGTGTGCACACATGCCAGTGTGAGGGTCACACGCGTGTGCACACACGCCAGTGTGAGGGTCTCAGCAGCACTTGTGACTGCTGCGCACCTGTGCAGTGCCCGAGGATGCGGGTGCGCACGGCGGATGGCACCTGTGCCCGCGGTGGGGGGGGGGAGGCTGGAGGGGCGAGAGCCCGCGCGTGGCCGGGGCTCGCTGGAGGTACTGAGCATTACCCAGTTGCCATGGAAACCAGCAGAAGGAGGTGGGCGGCTGCGGGAGGAGGCAGGCAGGGAGGGAGGGAGCGCGCGCCTCGCCTGCAGTCCTGGCGCGGCTGCTTCATTGCGAGCTCGGCCGGCGGACGCAGGAGCCTGGCGCCCCGCACCCTCCCTCTGCTCTGCTCTGCTCTGCTCCCCCAGGCCTTGCTCCCGCCTTGCACCCTTCAGCAGGGGGCGGCTGCTCTATGCGCGGACGGGGAAGCCCCAGGTAAGCGCCTCGCCTCCGGCAGGGAAATGCACCGGGGGGCCCCCTCTCTGCGCGCCGGGCTGCTGGCCAAGGGAGCAAAGGTCCCTGTGGTGCTCGCTGCAGCCGGAATGGGAGGGTGGGGGGTGGGGGGGAGCTGTCCCAGTAGCGAGCAGGCAGGACCCGCTGTGCTGCAGCTGGGCACCTTTCTTTCCCCCCCGCCAAAAAAAACCCCCTGGAGATTGGGGGGGGGGGAGACAAGGATTGGGCTTTCTCCTGCAGTGACCTCCCGGCTCGGACGGTAGTTTTGCAAAAGGGATGCTGCATCCCCGTCCCCCACCCACTCCCTACAGCTGGAGACACACGGGTCTGGTTCCCACCTGCCAGTTTCTACCTGCAGCACCGGAGCGGTGGCCAGGCTGCGGTTCATGCATCGCGGGGAAAGGAGGGGGGGAAGGAAATCTGCTAAGGCCAGGTCCCCCCCCTCCCCCTCTCAGCTTCCCAAAAGCCGGTTGCCAGGGAAGGGATGGGGGAGAGCGGGTTCTAAGAGGAGATGGAGCAGCTTGCAGCCCTGGGGAGGGGGATCTGGTCTGGCACCTGGCAGGCAGCTTGCAGGAAGGGCTCCTGGTTTCTTTTCCTGAGGGTGGGTGGTGCAGTGGCTGGTATTCCTAATTATAATGATAAATATTTTGCTCCAATACTGATCTTTCTACTCAGGCTCTCTCTGCACTATCTTCTGTAGAAGACACCTCCCTTCTTCATTTCCAACCCCCCCCCTACACACACCGGTTACCCCCATCCCTTACAGCTCCCCCTGCACCCTGCTTTCCTTTGAACCATGCCCCTCAATCCTCTCTGAACCAATCCCAGCCAGCAGCCTCTGGCCAAGAAAGGTTTGGTAGGAGCCCTTTCTGAGCTGGTCATCACCCCCCAAGCAGCCAGCAGGGGTTGCCAGTGAGTAGTGAGGTCTCCTGCCAGGGCAGAGCGGGCTGGCTTTGCAGACAGCAGTTCCCAGCCCTTGCCAGTCTGGCCCAGGGAGCAAGAGGCCACTTCTGGGAAGGGGAGCTGGTTTGAACACCAGAGGGCAGGACACAAGGTTACCCAGAAAGCCCTGGGTGTTCAACATGCTGCACTGAAGCTGAACAGATGGAAGACCATGTTCATTTCTGTGCCACACAGAGAAGGGAAAGCCATGAGATGGACTAGTCAGAACGGGGGCCTGTCCCGACTGCGGCATCCTACAGAGGAGGGAATAGGCCAGGTGCTTACAGAGGGGGTGTCCAGGCTCCAATTCACAGGTCTGAGAGCAAGTTGGGATCCTCAAAATCTGCTTATCGCTCTGCCATTGACTCGCTGTGTGACCACGGGCCAATCATGTCACTGCTCAGTGCCTCAGTTTCCCCATCTATAAAACAGAGATACTTCCCCCTCTGTCACAGGGGTTTGTGAGGATTAACCGAACCCTGGCCCCTAAACCTGCCCCTCCTTCCCCATCTCTACTAGCAAAGCTACCATCATCCTTGCTCCTTCAGACTCACAGCACCCTTCACCCCTCCCCCTCCTTCCCCTCCCACGTTAACACCATCAGCACCAGATTCCTACACAAAATCCCTTCCTGCCCAGGCTTTGTCCAACAAAACCCTAGTCCTAGCCCTGATCCGTCTTTCACCTCCACTACTGCAGCCTCCTCCCTGCCCCGGCTTTCCCAACCCCAGCCCATCTAGAAGGCAGTTCTGACAACTTCCAGCCCCATCTCAAATCCTTACGCTGCTTCCCCCTCACCGTGGTCCTTGTCCTCACCTGCAAAGCCCGACAGAATGCATCCCCTTCTCTCTCCCCGACCTTGTCTCCTTTGACTCCCCATTCGATCCTTTCACTCCACAGAAAAGCAGCTAAATTAACCACTCCTCTGTATTCTCCTCCCACAACCATCTTCCACCTGTCCTTCTGCTCCTGGGCACACCCCCACCCTTCCTGACCTGATCGGCTGGGCCTCCAATCTCTCTTGGGAACAGTGAGCCTGGTTCCCCTCACCCTTACGGTGGTGTAAATGAGGAGCGAGTCCACAGAGCTCCACTGGGGGCACGGAGAGCAGAGTCAGGCACACTTTTCCCGTGAGGACACCAAACCCTCTGAGTCTGTGTGCATGAAGGAAGGTAAAAAGAGACTCTCCATGCTGTGATAATGTGGTCTAGGGGGTAGAGCATTGGACCTGCTGGGTGACCTTGAGCAAGTCCCAGCCCTGTGCCTCAGTTTCCCTCTCTGTAAAATAGGGAAACTGATCCTTTGTAAAGTGCTTTGAGATTTACTAATGAAAAAAAGCACAGTATAAGAGCTAGGTATTATTATTATACTATTATATTATATTATATTATATTATTATTATACATCCAGAACCACCACAGTGCTGCCAACTCTCAATTTTATCACAAGTCTCACGGTATTTGGTGATTGATTTAAAACCCCCAGCTCCTGGAGTCATATGATTTCTTGAAACTCTTAGCTTATTTTAAAATGAAAAGTAAGTTTTTAGCCCTCCTGGTTGCCGAGAAAAGCTTGTAAACATGACCCTTAAGGTCTCAGAAACCAGAAGACAAATAACCAGAACCCACATATTTGTTTTTCTAAATCTTATGATTTTTAAGTCGGTCTCATTTTGGGAGGGCCTGACTCATGTTTGGGTTCATTTCTCTACAGTCTTCATCCCTGGTAGTGTCTATGCACATCCCTGGTGCATCTCATCATCACTTAGACTGTAAATTCCTTTGGACAGAGACCTTGTCTTTCTTTGATCTGTGAAGTGACATGCACATTTATGGAAAGATTGCAAAGAGCTCTGAGATCCCTGGAAGAAAGTGTTGGTGGGTCTCCTGTATTCAGAACAATAATGCTTAACCCTGGGGAGAGCAGGAAGATGGATCTTCTTTTAGAGTGTGCAAAAAGTAAAAACGTTTTGTGGCCAGGAGTTGAAGAAAATGCTTGTTGTTACCATGCTGAGTTTGTGGCATTGCTTCGAGTGATGCAGAGTGTGGGGTGAGGGTATGTGAACGCACACACACTAGATCTAATGTCACAATAGTCCCACCTGGAACTAGGGTACATGGATCTCTAAAGGAATCTCTTTAGAGGGTGCTCTAGCTTAGGGAATTCTCCGTGCCTCACAAACCCTGCCATCATGAAAGTGATCACATGGGATAGGGACACAATGAAGTTCCCATGGTGAAGACGTGGTCCTTGTTGCAATACTAGTGGGTCCTATCAGACTGCCGTGGGTCCATTTAACAGACACACCTGGATTGGGTTTGTTTGTTTGCTTTGAAGAGGTAGCGGATGTAGTTGTCCCAGCACCATTGATATTAATTAGCCTCTTTGTCAGCAGTTTCAGCAGATTGCCCCTGGTGATCTTAGGGGTGACCCCTTTCAAGTCAAAGGGCATTGGCAAGGCCACACTGGGGAAGCTTGCCCTGATGCCGCTCATGCTGTACCTGGTTCTGTGATGGGAGAACTCCACCTGACAGGCTTTCACCAGCATAAAAAGGGAAACCACACCTGGTCTGGCTGTTGTAATTCATTTAGGGTGACAGGGGAGCAGGGATGCTCTGGGGATGCTGGTGAATTAATCCCATGAACAGAAAAGCTGCACCTCAAACGGGGGCCCCTTCCCTGCCGGTCCATGTTGATCACTCCGGTGGTTATAACTCTGCCCCGCTCCCTGTAGGTTTTTTATTTAGCTAATCAAACTGAGAGCCCTGGCCTGGAGAACAAAGCCCAACCCTGCCTTTGCCACGTCTCCCACATGCAGTGCCGTGTAAATCAGGCATGTTTTCACTGGACTTTGCTGATATCTGCATAGCTTCCATGCGACACATCCCCAGCTGGTGTAAGTCAGCCTAGCTCCATTGACTTCTGTGGAACGATGGTGATTTGCACCACCCCAGAATCTGGCCCTATGTATTTTCACTATGTGAACTCTCTTCAGAGAAATGCATGGCACATAAGTGGATTTCCACACCTTTCTTCTCCCCTGCCCCGTCCCTAACATTGGGACAGTTTTCACCAGTGTGCACCTATAGCAATAACAGGGCAGTACAGCACTGCGCTGTGGCAGTGGGCTCACTACTGACTCCGTGCACAGGGTGCTGTTTCTAGTCCACATTGAAGCCAATAGCTCTCTGCTCAGCCTGGCAGTTTCAAAGCAGGCTCTGAGCAGTAGAAGCAGAAGCAGATGGCCAGAGGTGGGGGAGGGAGAATGGGACAGTAGGGTTGACTTATCCGTTAACTCCCAGCCTCCATCTTCCGCTCTCCGTATTTTATTCTCCTCTGCCCTCTTGGGATCTCTCCTATTCCTTTCCTATGTTCTCTCTCTCTCCCCCTCCCATTGCTCGTGCCATGTCGCTGCTCAGATTTATGTTTCGTCTTGCGGAAGTCACTACACATAGGGCCATTTAGCCTATTTGCCAGCTGTCTGCCAGCGTGACGGAACCACTGACACACAGCTCTTCCCTGGCTTCGTGAGCCCGGGCGGGGAGTTCTGAGAAAGGCAGATGCTGGCGTGGGCAGTTCCCCCCCCATGAAAGTCTTTGGGGGGGATGAGAACAGGCAGTGCATCTCCTTGCTCCTAAAGGACCCGCATCACAGCCATTGATTTCATGGCTGTGGCTCATGCCTTAAGACTGAAGAGTCCCACCCTGAAATATGAAAATGGAGGGCCAAAGCCAGTGCTGAGCAAACCTCTTGTGGGTTTAGATGAGCCCCTAACTGTTCCTGATCCAGAATCCATGGACCTCAGTGGGCTTGGGCTCCAGGCCACCTGATACACAGCGCCAGTGGGGAGCCGAACAGACAGGATGGCCACGGTAAGTGGGGAAGGCAACAGGGCTGTAATTCCAACCTACCTGGTTTACCAGGCAGGTCATTCAGAGCAGGATACAGTAAAGCAGCTGTGAACCACAGTGATACTCCTCCCAAGGGAAGGGTGCTATGAGGGGAGAGCCCAGCAGGAATCCCAGAACCCAGAGGAGTCC